GAAAAAAGTTGTAATGTGCTGTTATTAGAATAAATGCTATAATTTTTTTTCTATAATAAAGAATTGCATCTAAATTTACAAAAGTTTGTGGTCAAATTTTTTTAGAAAATTTACTGTAATATATGATCTGATACAAAATATGTCAGCTATTACACTAATTTTAATTGCTTTTATATTATAATTTTAATAATTTTTATTTTTATAGCAATGATCAGTTATAATATCATTATTGGAGATACAATTACTAAAGTTCTAATGAGAATTTTTGGAGGTATGTTATATCTTTCTGTTATTATAATTAACTTAGGAATTAATTTTTAGGAAAAAAATATACTGTACATTCATTTATTTCATTTATAATATTTTTAGAAATTATTTAAATAATTTAAAATATCTCTGTAAAAATAAGTTCTAAAATCCAGGACAGAAATATATTTAAAATTGCAAAAAAAAAGATTAATACAAAAACATGTTGAAGTTTTCTACACATCTTTTTCTAACTGTCAGAACACAGTCAGCACTACAGTCTGCACAGCAAGAGATTAGATGAGTCAGTCTGAGCTGGAAGGGTGTACAGTACATCAGATGAAAAGGATGGAAGGAGACATATGATTAATGTATAAAGTTGGAATTAAGGAAAAGTTATAAAATTTTAAAAAATGTAAAACAATAGAATTATTTATGATAAAGGTTGTATAAGAACGTTTTAGAAATATAAAAAACAAAACAGTTGAAAGATATCGCATCTATGTCTCAGCTCCCAAGGCATAACATATATTTCTTCCATCTCTTTCATCTGACATAGACCTTTCCAGCTCAGGCTGATTCATGTCTACCCTTTTGCTGCATGGACTATAGTGGAATCAAAATATCAACTATACTAATGTTGATTGTGTTCCAGTGGTTATTAGGGGCATGTTTGTATACTATGACAACCACTTAATATATTATGTAAACATATTGTAATCTTCTGGTTTTATTTCAATAAATGTGATACAGGCACTCATGGGGCCTCCCATGCCTTCCTTTCAAACTTTACTATTACCCTTTCTTTTCACACTTTGACCTCTTGCTTTCTCCTTCTTTCCATTTCCAAATAGGGCAAAGTCTGTAACCACAAACGGACAGCTCTCTTATCTCTTTAACTTGGTGTTTAACTTGGTTATTAGGGGCATGCAGAAGACTTTAAAGTGTTTTTGTATTAGTGTCTTTTTTTTGTAAGTTTATAAGTTAAAATATCTTATTTGTAATTAGATTTTTGTATGAGTTTGTATAATCAAAAGAGAAAACGTAAAATACAGTAAATCCTTGCTAACTTGGATTAATAAGGAGGAAGGTTGTCCAAATTTATGAAAGTCTGAGTTAACAGTGTGCTTCTCTGATGGGAAATGAGAAGGTGGATACACAGTACAGTAATTTATTATGGTCAGCACTATACAAAAGTATATCAAACATTGCAAAGCTCAATATGTATATAGAAACATAGCCAAATGACCACCTTAAATAATTGAGTTATGACTCCCCTAATTTAATGATTAATACTAAATAATTTGTTACTAGAGGTAGACATTAGGTGCCATCTCTTAACTAAATTAATAATTATAATTTTAATAATTTATTAAATAATTTAGAATCATCTGGAAGAAAAGAACTGACCCAGGGTGGGGCTTGAACCCACAACTTGCTGTGCAGTATGCTTGCCAATTGTGCCGCCTGGACCCTGAGCAAGCCTTTGCTTCCAGATGTATTTAAATTTAGATACAACCTTATGTGATTAATCATGATGTTGGCTGGGGACTCCCATGCCTATGGTCTGGGTGGTGTAAATGACAAGTGCACTGCATGGCAAGTGGAAGTTGTAGGTTCAAGCCCCACCCTGGGTCAGTTCTTTTCTTCCAGATGATTCTAAATTATTTAATAAATTATTAAAATTATAATTACTAATTTAATTAAGAGATGGCACCTAACATCTACTTCTAGTAGCAAATTACTTAGTATTAATCATTAAATTAATGGAGTTATAACATGATTATTTAAGGCAATTGTTTGGTTATGTTTCTATATACATGTTGGTGTCGCAATGTTTGATATACTTCTGAAATGACTTTAGATACACTCCCTCGATAAATGTAATTCTTCTGCTGTAAAATTCTGTTTGTTTTCTTCATGACAAATGATAATTTGGCTTCTTAAGCTCAGCAATCAGGCTCTTTGACCTTTTCATCTTCACTGTTCAAAAATGTCTCATCAGTATTACACAGTATAATACAGTATAATCATGGCGTACTATTGGTTGATCCTCTGCTGTGACACAGAAATACTGTAGGTTTATGCAAATTAGTCTAGAAATTACCAGAATGAGCATATTCTATCATTTTCAGATGACTGTGCTAATAATCTATCATAATGTTTGTGTTATATTTTACATATCTACAAAAATAGTCGTTAAAATACTTGATATGAAATCAGCATCATTCTATCAGTTAGAAAAAGCAACAAAAGCTGACAATATTATCTAACAAATTCTACACTGTACATCTTGGCATTCAGAATTATTCTATAATTTTGAGATTGGGTTATATAGGCTATATGAAATTCAAGCAAAATTACAGAAAAAATAATTTTAGTTGTAGAAGAATAAGAGGAGAAGAATGATGACAGTCTGAGCTGAGAAGAGCAGGAAAAATTCTATGGACAGAAAGATATTATATAACAGAAAGATTCTATGGAATGATAGTGCATATTTTTCAGAAGATAAAGAAATAAAAGGACAAGAAAATTTCTGGCAAGCAGAGAAATTATGGATTTATAAACATGATTTAGAAAAAAGTTAGTCAACATTAATGACTTTGACTCCCTCCCTAATGCAGAGAAATGGTACCCAGAGAGAAGTGTATAAGGAAGGAAGAAAGCAAAAAGATTTGTTAGGGACAAAGACCGGCAATGGTTAAGTTTATTGATATTAAGTTTAAATAAGAAAATAACAAACAGTAATTAATAACAAAGTTTAAATTTGAATTTTGTATTAAAATACAAAACTGAATTGGACAACAATTGTTTTGTCTAATTCTAAAACTGTTAAAACAGGATATATTCTACCTTCTGTGAAATCGGAATTTTTACCGAATTTTCCGATTAATATCCTGCGTTTTCCTAAACCCCCAATTAAATTTTCCGTTAAACCCTAAACTAAAATCTAACTAAAAAAAGGGAAAAATTCCAATCTCCCCTTTCGTTCAAAGTAAACATCCGTCCATTTCGAAAATAATCCCACATTCCAACTCCAAAGTTGATAGTTA